GTGGTGGTGGTGGTAGCAGCAGCAGCAGCAGCAGCAAGGAGAAGTGGTAGTGATAGTGGTAGTGGTAGCGGCAGCGGCAACAGCAGCGGCAGCAGCAGCAGTAGCAGCAGCAGCAGCAGTAGCAGCAGCAGTAGTAGGAGTAGGAGTAGGAGTAGCAGGCGGAGGAGGGGGAGCAGCAGTAGTAGGAAGGGTAGGAGTTTTAGGAGTAGTAAGAATAGTACGAGTCGTTTGAGTGGTAAGAGTAGGAGCAGGGGTAGGAGCAGCAGTAAGAGTAGGACGAGCGATTGTGGTGGTCGTTGTGGTAGGAGTAGCAGTAGCAGTACAATTAGCAACAGCAGTAGGAGTAGCATGTGCAGTCGTAGTACGAGTCGTCGGGGTGGTTGTTGGGAAGCCAATGACAGAATTGGGTGATTTCCGCACCGTTTTCAAGTCTGAATCCGAAGGCCGAGTGCGCAACCTTGAATGTCGGCCCTGGAACCCTTGTGGATCCCAGGATCTTCCATGTCGACAGCGGCACCTTACCACTAAGCCGCAGACTGGACTTACGGAGGTTCGTTTTCGCTGGCCGGCATTTGGTTTTCAGCGTGCCTTGGTTAGACTTCATGGCTATGCTGATCAAATCCTTAGTCTCGACGAGCTATCCCACAAGGAGGAAGAAACGCCAAAAGAGACTCAGAATCATTCTAGACCGTGGGCTGCGGACACCAGCGCCACTGCAAAAATACAGAAGTCGAGGAAGAGTTCCACACGGGCCGGATTCTCCCTGGCCCGTACATCTCGAGCGTTTCCAACCACTCAGCCCTCTTCTTCAGAGCTTGGGAACACCGCGCCCTGGCTCAAACGTGTACTGCTTTCACCACTCATGACAGTTGTTGCTTTCGAGCGACCTTGCATCCTAATGCTGTGGTCTTGTTTTGTTTTTGTCACGGCAATTTAATTACAATATGTTACCAGGATGTGTTATTGTCAGTTCGTATTCGATGTGAGGAGAGCGGGGGTTTTATGCTTAGGGAGCTTCGAAGAAACGAGTACGATGACGACCAGGGCCAAATATAAACTCTAACCTGAGGTGCGATGAACTCCTTGCAGCTGCATCTGCTCGACTGGCTGGGCAACGCCGGAGCCTCAGGCCCACAGAAGCGAACTCACCAACTCTTGAAAGCAATCTAGTGACCTAGTGTCCTGCAGAAGAGGGCATCTGAGCATGTCTTCTCGGGAAACATCGCCTTGCATCCGCACATTGCCGATGATCTCTGTACCCGCTGCTGCATCTGAACGCTTCTGGTTGGGTTCGGGTCGAAGTCACCAGTCAATAGCCGAATCTGTCAGCGGAAGCCCCCCAGAAGTTTATGTTCAAGTTGCTGAGCCGGGGCCATGCATGAAGCCTCGATGAGGAGCTACTTTACTCGGGTCAGACACGTGGGACGTTGAACAATCTCACAGACAGCCTGCTGTGGGTGGCCAAGCTGTACAAGAACGCCCAGGCTACCTGCACCAAGGGCAGCTCTAAGTAGCAGTGTTGATGCTTTCAGACGGGCGACTGGGGCTTGACTTCTTAACAGCAGGATGCTCGGATGGTTTTCTTTAGCCCAGATGTTTTTGCAACATCGTGGCAAGATGGCATGTGGAGCCTATGTCGCTGCAGATGTGTTAGCTATATAAGCAGGTTCGTCGTTTCGTGTAGCATGGAAGACAGAAGCAGCTGGCACACAGGTATGAGCTCACAAATTACACAAACCATACTCGAAGAAATACGCCGATGCAACTTCAACACATATGTACACAAATACATACACACATACATACAGACATACATACATACCTACGTGCATTCGTACGTACATACATACATACATACATACATTCCTGCAGAGTATGTACCGTTGTATGCTTGCAGCTCTCTTTGCATGTCGTAACAAAAATGCAGGTTACGAGCCAGCAACTACCGAGAGACACATAGAGAGATAGAGAGAAGGAGCAGTCTTAACCGGACTCGCATGCCCCGACGTGAAGCAGCAAAGAAAGCATTTGCAGCATGTGCATGCATGCATACATGCATGCATACATGCATGCATACATGCCGCAGCAGAAGCTCCCTGAGGATGCCGCCACCCACGACGTATACACGGCCGCTGCCAAGTTCGTTCTCGGACCGCGTCGTGCTCCGCCATCAACCCTAAACTCTGGTTTTCATCCGAATCCCAACATCTGACGAGGTGAGAGTCAGGTTGAAGAGCATTCAAGCTATGGAGTCCTCTGCTTCGGCTTGGGGTTGGCAGTGCTCTGAAAAAGACATGTAACATCGCCGGATGTTAGACCCTCTCTATCTGTGTCTGTCTCCTGTCTCTTTCTTGCATCAGCAACAGGAACTGTAGAGCCACACCGTGTCTCTGCATGTACGTGTGTTGTCCGAATATATGTATGCATGGGATTCATGTTTGCCCGCATGTCTGCACGACCATGTGGTATGCAGTTGCGTCTTAAGTGTAGTTCTTTCACTCACTACAATGATGAGTATACACATTCATGTAATTGCACATGGAGAATATGTGTATGTAATGTATTCAAGCTCATGCATCCATATCCAATGTGTGTCTGTAAATGCATATGTGTGTGCATAAGTGCACGTATGTATTTGCATATACACCGATGCATATGATATGTAGCTTAAGGTCCTTGAGCTGCCTGTCTATTCACGTACCTACCAGAGTTCTGAGTCCTTACATTCACGTGTGTGTGTGTGAACGTAATTATGTATGTATGTGTGGTTGTGTGTGTGTATGTGTGTATGTATGCATGTATGTATGTATGTATGTATGTATGTATGTACGTAAACGTATGTATGTGTGTCTGTGCCCAGTTACACTAAACGCACATCTACATATATGAATATTTGCGTACATATGCAGATATTATGCAGATATTTGTGTGTATGTAAGTGTATACACATACGCATGTCTACATAAATATAAGTATGTATATATATACATATATATATATACAAATACATCCATCCATCCTTGCATGCATGCATGCATGCACACACACATACACACACACA